CTTTCTTTCTTTCTTTCTTTCTTTCTAATTGCCAGAGAAGGTAAGTGCTTACCAGGGAGAGAGAGAGAGAGAGAGAGAACCCACCCCCAATGGGGCATGGGCATGCCACTATCCTTTCTCATTCATTTCTCCCTCCTGGGTGGTTTGAGGCTCACCCACATGCTTGCTGTATTAGGCACTGGGGCCAAGGTTCAAACCAGGATTCAGTCAGCCATGTAGACTCCAGTTCCCCTAACCACTAGGCTATGGGACTGGCTCTCATTATTATTTATTTTTGAGATTTATTTTATTCATGATAAAAAACATGTGCATGAGAGAGAGAGAGAGAAAGAGAGAGAGAGAGACCCTTAACAGGATCTCCTCCTGCCATGATTCTCTTCTTCCAGCCCTCCAGCTCTTCAAGGTCTTGGACATGCTGCACACACTGGCATGCTTTCAAGCTGATGCAGGGATCTAAACCCATAATTGGCTGGCTATTTGGTTTCGAGCACTGTGGTTTAGTTTGCAACCCACAAGGCCGGCTTCATTATTCTTTTCTATGTTCAAAAGGTCTCAATTTGACCTTTTTACAAGGCTCTTATGTCATTTTAAGTTGGTCACATCAACCTTTAAGCACTTACTTTGTCACAAGACTCACCTTGTTCTTCACCTCCTGTACCCCTATAATAATTCATTCTTAGATGAAAATCTTACTCTTTTTAGTTGGAATGGTGCTTGAAATTTTACTTATACCTTATAGCTTTTTTTTTTTTTTTTCGCTCTATGGTGCACATGCCTGCTAGAGACAGAGAGAGGAAAGTGAGAAAGCACCCCATGAGGGATGGCCACATTGCAGTCCCTTCTCCTCTCTTTTCCACATGCACACACATACCCACCATGATTTTCAAACCACCAGGTCTGGGACTTGAACTGTGATCAACCAAATAAACCCCTATGCCACTGTTGACCCCTGCCTTATACTTTTTAAAAGACTAATACATTGCCAACAAAATGTATCTTGGTTTGGTTCAACATTACTTTTCTGTTGAGCATTTGGACTATTTCCAATCTTCCTCTCCACCCCCCCCAATAACTCTGTAATGAGAATCTTTATGCAGATAACTTTTCTTAGTTTTGCCCTGCCCTGCCCTGCCCTGCCCTGCCCTTCCCTTCCCTCCCCTTCTCTGCCCTTCCCTTCCCTGCCCTGCTCTGCCCTTCCCTTCCCTTCCCTTCCTTCCCCTTCCCTTCCCTTCCCTTCTTTTCCCTTCCCTTTCTCTCTCAGTCCCAAAAGTAAAATTATTGGGGCAAAGAATGTACCTTTTTTGGACTCTTGATACAACTTATCTCACGGAAGCTTTTTAAAAAGTTAAACCCAATGACTTCTTCTTTTTTTCTCCTTAACTTCTTTGGAGCGCCTGAGTTACTGACCTCCCCCAGCCTTGAAGCCTTCTTCTCCTAGACTTTCCTCAAAACAGCGCTCTCCTGGTTTTCTCCTCAAAGGCCACGCGGTCGCATCCTTCCTTAACCTCCTAAAGTTGTATGTGTCCTAAGGCCTGGTCCTTGGCCCTTGCTTTTCTCACGTGGCACTGAAGTGTCCTTGTTCCCGTTTATCTGCCTTTGGATGCCCAGTTCTGTCCTGAGCTCTAATCCCTGCTGAGTTTTGCCTTCTTCTACGTCTGGCCCTTGTCTTTTATCTCCAGGTTTGTGTTGGGTCCATCTCTGTCCATCACCTTGAGAGGACAGCTGCGTTGTGCTGCTCTCACACGTGTACTCGGTTCTTTGAGACCCCGGATGCTGAGATGCAGCTTCGTTTGGGCCAAGTTCTGTTTGGGCTACATAGTTTGGGTCAACTCATTGTTTAAAAAGAAATTGAATGAGTTGCCACTATTTAAACATTTGGGAGATCTCACACAAAATTCCAGGTTATTGGCTTCCCCTAAAATATCAGAAAATCTGGCACATGTGGCTCCTATTTCCATCATGTACAACTGGCAGGAGATGAGGATCCTGGCTGGCATCAGATGAGGTCACCTCTCCAAGGACCATCGTGGACCCCGGCATGTAACTGAAGCCCCATGTCGGATGCTTTTACTACCAACTTTCACACACTCTCTCTCTTTTATTTTCTATAGAATTAAGAGGAAAGTGAAATATTTCTCCAGCTATGTCCTCATCAAAGATAGAAAAGAAAAAAAGGAAGAAAGAAAGAGAGGAAGAACAAAAAGAGAAGAAAGAAACTAAATAGCTAAAAGGATTACAAGTTACTAGAAAATGTGGAAGGTTTTTTTTTTTTTTTTTTTTTTTAGCGCAAGTGCAGACTATTTCTGTTTGATATGAAAATAACGTGGTTTGGAGCCAGCAGGTAGCGCAATGGTAAAGACGCTGGACTCCCACCTGGCCAACCACAGCTCAAGTCCTGGGCCTGGCAGCTTGCTTTCTCACTTTCTCTCTTTCTCTCTCTCTGGTGGGCACATGTACCCTACAGCAAATGAAAAGATAATACTACTAATAAATAAAATTAAATAAAAAAATTTTTTAAAAAAAGAAAAGAGCACGGTTCTGTATCAAAAGAACACAACTTGGCATGTGAACCATATAGCAAACTGTATGGTTTGACTACTTCACTCCATAATAAACCTTTGTTCAAATAGTTCTGAAGAGGTTTCATGCCTGGAACACAAACGCGCATGAGACTCAGCCCTGCCTTCCACAAGGCTGAATTTTCTGACTTTCAGCAGTCTGCGGCTTACGTGAAATCCTGACAATGGGAGGAGGAGGAGAGTGGAGTGCAGCCTCTCCATATGGCTAC